GCGCGTCGGTGGGGGCGGGTCGGGGGCTGCCGCTCGGACCCCGCAGCTGGGATACCGGCTCGCTGCCTGGCGGGGGCCGGTGCTGTGGCTGCCCCTTTGACTCTCCTTTCCAAACCCCGCGTGTTTTGCTTCCAGAGCGTTCCTCGACCTGGTGGGCCTGCCCGAAGACATGACTACGCAGGTAAAGATGTAACTAACCCGACTCGCCTCTGGCTGGGGGCAGGGGGGCAGCGTTGACCACTTCAATAACGGATGCTCTTCTTTCCCGTTTCAGTACAGCATTCTCTTCAAGCAAGAGCAAGGTAAGAGAAACCCACGGGCTTTTAGGCCGTCCGCTTTTCTTATGTAAAATTCTTATTTCCCTGAGAATTGATGTAACTAAAGAAACTCCTGTGACGTTTCAGGTGATGTTCTTGCCAAGTCTAGATTTTGAGTGGATTTAAAAAACTCTAGCAGTATTTAAACTGAGATGATGAGATGTGGCTGTAATGATGCAGCATTAGCCTTCGTTAACTTCAGTGAGTTTATATTTAGCCTCATGAAAACATTTTTCAAGCTGTCTTACTCTCTTCTTGCCTGGTTCAGGTACACTTGCAAATCCATGTATTGCCAAGAAAAGTAAAGCCCATCCCATTATCCACTTTCCTGATTACTGTAATCGTAGCGCTCCATTCTGTGGTGCCATAGCATCTTTCTCCACAATCCTTTGTTTTCCTGAGCAAGTTCCAACTGCAGAAAATGTCCTACTTCATTCCTGACAGCTTTTCAATGCTCTTATGGAGCTATTTATACTGGCAGTTCATCTCACAAGAAATTTAGAGCCAATAAATAAATACAGTGAATTACTTTCTTTTTTCTTTATTTCATCTTGAATCTAATTATTTTTAATCTCCTTTTTGTGGGTTTTGTTGCTTTATAAACTGCTTCTAGATATTGTCTAATATTGTATTAGCAACTTTCCCATTCTTATGTGGCCATAAAATACATATATTCTTGGCATGCCATAATTTTAGGTTAACCGTGAAGCTACAATGTCTATTGTCTGATTCGGGACGCTGATATAGGTTTCTACTGCCTGAGGCAGGAAATAAAAACAAGCAACTATTGTGGATAAATATATCTGTTAGATTTGAAGAGATAGCTAGGTCTTTTTCCCTAATTTTAATGCTTTATTTCAGCTCATGATGATGCCATCTGGTCAGTTGCATGGGGAAAGAATAAGAAAGATGGTTCTGAAACAGTAATCTCAGGCTCTTTAGATGATTTAGTGAAAGTCTGGAAATGGTAAGTGAGGTGTTCAGTAAGAACTAATTTAAAAATAAAAAAACAGTGTAGACTACCTTGCCAAGCAGTATTTTTTTTTTCCCCCTCCCTTATTCTCAAGAACACCAGTATTGGTGTACTGCAGGGCAGCTCTATGATGAAACTTAGTACCATTCTGTTATTTGAGCCTGTTTTCAGTGGTGCATACTTAGTCAGTAACTGACAGCATCCTGATGTATGTTGAGAATTTGATTTTTCTAAAATGCTTAAGAATAAAAATACACTGGGATATTATCCTTCACTAACAGAGGATGAATGATAAATCACGTTCTTTTAAGAAAGCATTGACAAATACCCTTGTCTTTGAAAGTTAAATAGAAGGAAGACCTAGTGCAAAAGACTGCAAAAATAAAATAACACTTCCATTTAAAGAGCTTCTTACAAGTTATTTATTATTTAGAGAAGTTTTCACTGCATGAATTAATGCTTCATTGCAGCTAATTTTAAAAAAGAGAACAATCGTTTTGCTAAAATAGTGCTTGGAGGGGATATGCCCCCTCTACCTCCTCCTCACTCCATTGTAGGTTTTGAAAGCAGGTTGTGCTTAGCTGCCTGCCTTTTGTCACTTGCAGGGAGGTATAGATTTTAAGTTGAAGGTGTGTTTAGTACCTGAAACTCTTCTTAACTAGTGTTTTATTTCCTTTTTAACAAAAGGAATGATGAAAAATTAGACCTACAGTGGACATTAGAGGGTCATCAACTGGGTGTGGTGTCCGTGGATATCAGCCACACTGGTTCCATTGCAGCATCCAGTTCCCTCGATGCTCATATTCGCCTTTGGGATTTAGAAACTGGCAAACAAATCAAGTCAATAGATGCTGGTCCTGGTAAGATCCCTGTGTTCATTTGGTAACCTGTAATTTCTGCAATGCGTGTACTGTACATATAGTATACAATTAGTGGACAATACAGATGATATAGTAGTTCTCTTTGTAAAACTGCAACACCATGTACATTATTCGAGGGCAGCTACTCTGCTGATTCAAGGTAAACTGATATAGAACTATTTAAACTGAGTCTATTCATGAGAGAGTGCACTAATATGTCAGTCTTTTTAAAAGTTGATTGTAGTTAAATTATGCTAATTTACACAGGCAGGCAAGGTTTCTATCTAATCTTGTTTGTGTTACTTGCATGCTACCTCATTGAAAGGTCAGTTAGTGGTAAAGTGACTCATTTAGGGTGTAGACAGAAGTGCAGTTCCCCACTGTAACTGAGAACGCTTTGCAGGAAGCGTTCTGAGTTGCAACAATCCCTTGGAACAAACAGAAGTTCAACATGCAGCCAGTTTTCCCCTAGGAACAGCCCCTGTGCCCTGCTAGGCTTGAAAGTTTTCAGAATGGGAGGGGGAGAAAGGGAGTGAAGGGAGCTCATTCTATGGGTTCCCCAGCCAGCACTGGAGGGTGGGGTAGGGGAATTGGAGCCCCACACCTTGAGGGGGGGGAGACTCCAATGTACCCACCCCATCCTCCAGCAGGGGCCAAAAACACCTCAGTGTGAATTCCCTCTGCTTCCTTTCTCCCCTGCCTCCCATTCTGAAAACAGCTTGAGGCTGGCAGGCAGCACAGACAGAAGTTACAGAAGACTGTTTTGAAATGTCTTCATTTGACCCCTCATGTGCTGGGGGTCACATTTCCACCCCATTGGCCATTTTTTTTAAGCTGTCTGTAGCCATGCACTTGTTTGGTCACAGCTAAAGACTGCTTTCTGTGGCCAGATTGGGTGAAAATTGTCACTTCTGTCTGTACCCTTAGTTGAGGATGCATAAAGTGAAGTAAAAGCCAGTTTGCTGTTTCATAGATGTATTAATCCAAGTGTTGTTAATCAGAATGTGGCAATGGAAGAATGACCATTTAAACACCGTGATGCAGATTAAGACTATTGATGTGCTAGTGTAGTGCATCCTCCTTCTACACATTTGATCTTACTGGAAACTTGCAATATAACTCTTCTCACTGGGCCAAATACAATGTGTTTATGTGAATAATCCTACAAAAATAAATATTATTGGCTAAGAAATATAATCAATATATACTGTATTAAGTATTCTCTTTCTCTCTCAATACAGTTGATGCCTGGTCCTTGGCTTTTTCACCAGACTCCCAATATCTTGCAACAGGAAGTCATGTGGGAAAAGTAAATATTTTTGGTGTTGAGACTGGGAAAAAAGAATATTCCCTGGACACTAGAGGAAAATTCATCCTTAGCATTGCATATGTAAGAGACTTAACTGATATTCTCTTTTATTATAGTATCATCAGTGCGTTCTAGTGTAAATCAAACTTTCAGATACTGTATTAGCCATTTTAACAAGAACTTTAAAAAAATAAAGACTTCCTACTAAACATTCAATCACTAATTTCTTAAACTGAACATTGCACCTGTATTTGTAACCTTCATTGACCTTTCCTCTATGCATGGTGGTATTTACTATAGTAGATCCTCTGCTGAAATTTATCCAATGTTGTGGAAATGCTTTCTGGAAACATACACTTCAGTATACTTGCACTTCCAGCAAAGACGCCAAAACGATTAGATTACCCCTTTAAATCTGAGTCCCCATAAGGTGGTGACCTTACTGATGGTAAAACTGAAATTTCATAAGATAAATGAGTTCTCCAAAGGGACAGAGAGAGAAATCTGAAATGCAAATAAAACACAAGCCCACAGTCTCTTTTTAAAATAAATATTTGCAATAGAAAACCCCTCATTACTATAAGTAAACTGGAATGAGTGATGCATCTAGGGTAGGAATAATCATACTTTTAAGAGATTTAATTTCAAGCTGTATGATGTTCTTTAACATCAGGAGAATGAAATGTCTGAAGAATAAAATCACTAATATGCACAAAAGTAAGATCCATTTGAAAAACAGAGTCCACACTGTTAAATATCTTGCCTTCCAGGCTGTCTTGATCTGTTTCTCTTCTCTACTCTCCCAATATAAAATGTTAATATGAATATTTGTTAAATGTATAATGTTATATTGTTACAGAGTCCAGATGGAAAATATTTAGCGAGTGGAGCAATAGATGGCATTATCAATATTTTTGATATTGCAACTGGAAAACTTCTGCACACGCTAGAAGGTAAATACTTTGGAATATTTGTAAGCTGCAAGTTACAGATTCATTCTTGATTAAAGTGTTAGTTATGAAATGCTTGATCACTGTGTAATGAACTGAAATGTCAAGCTAATTTATGCCTGTCTTGGTTATTCATGCACAAGGTTACCCCAATAGCTCTGTTTCCAAACCAGTGTCCTTTTATAGATCTATTCTGATTGAAGCACTGTCCCTTTATTTGTAAATATCACTGTCTGTTTCTAAGGGTTAAAGTGTGCATAAATCCAGTTATTAATCTCAGCATGTGTGTAGGTGACAGAGTAGTTACCAACTGACTGTGCCGATTCTCAATTTCAGGCCATGCAATGCCCATTCGCTCATTGACATTTTCTCCAGATTCCCAGCTACTTGTCACAGCTTCAGATGATGGATATATCAAAATTTATGATGTGTAAGTTATCATTTCACAAGATGCACCTGATGGAAGAATTAATATTCTAAGAATTTTTTTTGAACTTTTAACATTTTGGAGGGTCTCTTCTTTTTAGCTTAGTAGTTACAGATGCATTGTTTTATAATTAATAAAGCATCATGGAGTTAGACTCTTTAAAAGGTGCAATAGTACATGGCAGACGTGGCTTGAAAACTGACGGCTTCTACCTATATTTAGATGTGTGTGCGCACCAGCCTTCCCTTCAGCTTGCTCTTGTCTCAACTTTTGAGTTTCCACTGCACATTTTTAAGATGTTCTGCTTCATTCACAATGTTTGCCCTTTATGCTCCGGTGACACTTGGTCTCTTTCATGCTGCACTCCCATTCAGTGATCTGTTGCTCTCCTGACTCATCTTGTTGTCTGGACTCTCTCTTCTCATCTCTCCTCCTAGTGAAATTCCTTTCCAAATCACTATGCTCTGATTTTATAGCTAAGTCAAGATTTATGCTTTAATCCTCGCTGCCTTTCACTTAGACATCATGATTCTGTCACCTGCAGAAGGAGAGGCTTGGTCTTGAATTACAGTGACCTCAGTCACAGAAATCTGTAGACAATAAGGTACATTCCTTGTACTGTACCTTAACAGATGGGCTGCATATTGAATCAACTTTTGAATAGCTTTTGAATAATTTTACAGAAAAACAGCAAAAGCAAGTGTTTAAAATTTACCTGTTCTAACTAAACATTTTTTTTCCCAGATCCATCTCTCTTGTCTAAGTTGCAATCTCTACTAGACTTTAAGAAAATGCGCACACAGCCCCCTGTAGGTATGATGAAAATAAGATGGCATATCACTCTATAGCATGCTAGCAGTGGTTGAAGACCAAAGTGCATCACAGATCTTCTCCAGCAACCTTATTAATAGTTTTAGACAGGATCCATTGTACACAACCTGTTATTCAATTGAGATGAACAATTGCACAGTTATGAACTCTTGGAAAAAAAATAACACGGCTGTTTTAGGCTGCACTGAATCCAACCTTGTAGTTACTCGCTCTTCTGGGATTTGCAAACTGAAGTTTAATATACTTTCATTAAGTGACTGCTAAATCTAAACTCTTTCTCCCACAGGCAACATGCAAACTTGGCAGGGACTCTAAGTGGTCATGGATCCTGGGTATTAAATGTGGCATTTTGTCCTGATGATACCCATTTCGTTTCCAGGTATTTCTTATTTTTAGACTTTTGGGAAAGAAAGGTAATCTTTCATTTATAATGCAGACAGATCACAGAATAAATGTGTTTTTAAAAAAAAACGCAACAAAACAAAAAACCCCACACACACAAAAACCCATTTGGAATTGAATGTACACTGACTGGAAAAGCCATTTTAAATGTATTAGAGGGGAGACTGATATTACTTCGACAAGTACCTTGTATCATCCCACTGAAGTCAGCAAGAGTTGGTTTTTTGTGTGTGGGGTTTTTTTTTTTTTTTTAGAGTGAAATACTTCTGAATGTAAGGAAAGATACTGCACTCTCTTACTACATTAAACTAGAAAGTAAATAACAAAATCTAGTAGGCTGTAAACATATTGCGTTTGTTCCAGGATAAACCATTTTATCCCAGAACAAAGTGCAGTTGTTCAAACAAACATCCATGTCTGTTCCAGGATAAATCCTAAAAAGATTCATGGGATAAGAAGTACTAACAGTTTATCCTGGGGCATTGCAAAATGTGTCTGGTTATTCCAGGATTGTATTATTTAATCAGTGGCAGAAAAGTGGTAGTGCATTCATTCAGTCACTCACTAAACCCTGATAAAACCTTAGCCAGGGACATAAAGGCATGAATGCTCAAAGCGCATTGACAACTTAATTTGACAGTTGTAGCCTAATTTATAATCTGATGCTTTGTGTACATTGTAAATCTAATGAAGACTTAAAAACATTATTCTTCAGAACAAGACAAACTGTTGAATCTGATTGATGCAAGTTGACTAAAAAACTTCAGACTGTGCTTGCTATGCTTGGAATTCTCCTTCATTTACTATGTTCATACAAAAATAACTTAACATTGGTTTAAGAAATGCAACTTCTAGAGTTTGGTAAAGATCTGCATTTTATGTTGCTTCTCCCCAACTTTGATAGTTCTTTATACAGTGGTATGGGATCTTTGGGCTGTTGATTTTATATTGCAATTATATTGTTACTAATTTACATAGTGATTAACAATATTTTCCAGTTCATCTGACAAAAGTGTAAAAGTTTGGGATGCTGGAACAAGGACCTGTGTTCACACTTTCTTTGACCATCAGGATCAGGTATATTAAGAATGAATAATTGTGAATTGTGTGCATTCTTGCCTCATGCCTTAAATTGTACTAATAGAAGAACTTGCACTTTTAGGATACATGGGTTTGATTTTAGTGGGGATAGGATATTGGTTTGGCTTTAAAGGTAGTGCCATGGTATTTTACAGCTGAGAATTTATTTACAGTATTTGAAAAATTAATATCCTAAAAATATTAACTTTTTAAAAAATTGGCTGATCTCTTTCTGTATAATCCTTTGTACAGCCGCAACCAAAAGGCAGTTACAAAGGGCAAAATGGATTCTTGTCAGTCTATTAAATCAAAAGATCTTTGTACACACTCTTTGTAGTATACAGAGCACGTGTCCTTTATGCATTTTTTTTTTTTTTTTTTTCCCCCCACATATACACATTAAGAACACGCCTGAAAACTGGTTTAGTGGCTTTTCCCTGTTAAATATCAAGATTATTGGTTCTTTAAAAGACTTGAATCTGAGCACGCTGTAGTGGGTAGCTAGCTTTCAGCAGGGGAGAGGAAGAAGTAGTTGAGTCTTTACCAAGCTAGTTTTTTCCTCCCCCATTTTTTTTGAACATAAATCTTGACAAACTGAGAGCCAGAGGTGTGGAGTTTTTGTTTGTTTTTTGTTGTGTCCATCGTGTTGTGGTCGTGTCCGTGTCTGTTGTCATCACCCCCCTGCATTAGCAATATTTTACTCTCTTGATATTTCTGAGCTGTTCATTCTCCTAGCTCTCCAGTTAATCATAAAGTTTTTGATGAAGCACAGTAAAATGAGATTTGGATTTTTGAAGATAAAGTAAATTGTTCTCTCTTTGAGAGTCTATAGATCTCTTGTCTTTGGGTCTAACATGCACACTAATAACTCCTCTAGGAAGTGGGTGATGAGGAGTAACAGCGCACATGAAGAAAAATTCTGCAAACACAGTTGTAGATAGTCTTACCCTTTTTGGCAACAAGCTAATGTGCTGTTTTTGTATTTCTTGTACAAGATATTCTCAGTAGTTTGTTCAGACATTTGACCTTGTTAAGTCTCCCAGGTTCATATTGGTTCTGAAGTCCAGTAGATAGACTTCTAGGTTACCTGGTGGTACAGGCAGCCATTCTTGTCTGGTGCACTCCTGCACACCTTCCAGCCTTGCATTTTTTTAGGTTTTTCTCTGTCCTGAAATGAAAATGTCTTTGCTTGGAATAAGGTAATTCCTCTTGTTTAGACTTGCTCATGTAGCTTTTTACTCCTTCATCCAAATCAAGTCCAGTTGCATTGGATGGTGTACAAGGATGATTATTGGTTTGACAGAATTTGAACCGTAGCCACTGACAAGAATACCAGTGAAAAATGTAAAGATGACTAATGCATAAGACCTTATCAGACAAGCAGATGGCAGTGTTCTACTTCAACAGCTAAAGGGTGACATAAGAGGGGAATTACTTTGCATGAAGAACAGTGGAAAGAATGACCTTTAGTAAATGCCATCCACATTTCTTGTGTTCAGCAAACTTATGGACCACAAAGAATATGAAGAAATAATGTCCGATCTTGTTATCCACTGTCATGAGCTATTGTTTATATATTTGTATTGGCAGGTCTGGGGCGTGAAATACAATGGAAATGGTTCCAAAATTGTATCTGTTGGAGATGACCAAGAAATCCATATATATGACTGTCCAATTTAAATACCCTGAAGCAATCCTGGTGGCCAACTAATCTACAGGTTTTCAGAAATACTGATTGCACTTCTCGCGTTGCCACTTAAAAAATGCTTCTTATTTTGTTAATGTGATAACATTTTAATAATGCTCTTCTGAATCTTGAACTCTGACATCAATAGAAAAATGCAAATACTCATACCATTTATATGTATTTTTGTCTTAGGTTTGGCATGAAAGAATTTACATTTTTAAATAAATGAAATAACTATTGTAGCTACAAAATATTTTGTCTCAAGTGCAGACGCTGGAATGGTATGTATTTGGAAACATACTTGTGTGTAGTATCTGCTCATTTTAGCTACCTCCATATCTTTTTTTTTTTTTTCCTCTGAACGATATAAATAGATTTGAGTCTGAAATTGTTGACTAGCTCTGGCTAAAGCTAATTTAGGAAACGTTTCTGAATCTTAGACCACGTACACACGTCAACCATCACCCCTGCTACTGTTAAATATTTGTCTTTATGTGAACAGGGTCATTAAGTTAACACCTGTTTTAGCAATTGTGCTAAGGCATGTGGTTCACTAGTTGTGGCCTAGTCTATAAATTTTTCATTTGATTCCTCT